GCTTTTTCAAATTATAGATACTATGGAAATAAATCTTTCTAAAAGGAATTAAACATTCTGATAGAGCTTCAAATTCTCTATCATCCTGTATATTTTTATTCTATCTTGCATTTCTGTGCTGAAGAATAATTTGACTATCATGCAGGCACGCTTGTCAACTGAGGATGTCTTCATTGTACTCAAGTTATTTTTCCAATAGATAAATGCAGGACGGTAGACAAATATATAGGATGATAGAGAATTTCCAGCGTTATCAGAATATACTTAGGGCTGACCAAAAGTTTTGATCACGGTGCGAGGAGGGGAGGGCGGAATCACCGTTCTACGAACTATTGGTCAACCCTAAGTATCTCAAACGAGAAACAATAGAATTGTCCTGGATTTTTTAGGATTTTCTCTTGTTTTAGGAAAACAGTGTTGCCTTCAAGAAGAAAAATTCAATAACTGGCGAATTTAGAAAGATATAACACTCAAATTTTCTGTAATATTAGCAGACTACTGGCACAAGTATAGAAGAAAATTTTAGCTCGTAATGTTTCGTCTTGACTAGGTTACAGAATTTTTACTATTACTGCACACAATGTTCCTTCAGAATAAAACAAAATTCATAACTGTTGAAAGAAGTAATATGATCAATATCATAGAAAGCAGAGTTAAGCATCTGAAGACCTTTCCTCGTTAGTGATTATTGTGTAAAATAAATAAGCATTAGAATCTTTTTATTAACACTGATACAATATGCTTTTCAATAAGCATACGTATGTAACTTTCAAAACAAAAAATACAACAGTATCTACACATATAAGGAAATAAAAAAATAATTCCTATTAGAGTTTGAATAAATTTAAAGTAATTTATAGCAATAATAACAAAATCATCAAAGTAAACAAGAAATAAACAACAAAACACTTAACATTGGTCAGATGCAATGATCAGAATGATAAATAATGGCATTATAAATGAAAAAATAGAATCATAATGTACATTGTTCACCAAAAGTTAGATATGACAATATATTATATATAGACATGATTAAGAAATTATTTTTAATGTTACTAAGTGTCAATTGTTGATTCAGTTAGACGTTTTTTTCCCAAAATTATTGCTGTTTCTGATTCTCTCTCGGTACTTCTCTTTCGATTATTTGATGCTGTATCGAGTCTTCCATTTAAATGATTATTAACAATAAATTTTTTTATTTCTCGTCTAAAAATAGATGACGATGCAAAACATAGTACAAAATTCATTGCATAATAAGTATTAATTAAACATTGATATAATTGAGCTTTAATCATATAACTAAAAAAATTTATTTCATGCGATTTTATTTGAACAGGATCAAATGTTAATGCATAAAATATTTGAGCTGGAGATACAAGAGCCAAAAATCCAATATTTGATGCTAATAACATTGTGGTAACACGTCTTGTACGAGATCTTGAACGAGATTGTAAATGTTCATTATGCATGGAACTTATAAATGAATTTTTAATAATAAAAATATTAAATATTAATGTTAAAATACTTGGCTAGAATAAAGAAGGCAAAGAGTTAACAACGATTTTTCTATTAAACTAAAGTAAATCTACAATCTATCCTAAATTTTATAATAAAGATCGAAAATTGATGATGAATTATTATTTAGAATAGTTAAAATAACAGATGAAACTTCGAGCTTCAAATAAAACTTTTTACTGCCAGAATATATCGTTTTTCGTTGATAAGAAGTCTCTATGAACACAAGAAAAATTGAACAAATTTTTCATTACTAAAGAGAGTAAACAAAATAAGATCTTGCATTTTTCATAGTGCACGAGTAAAAGTCAAAAATGAATATGCGCATTATTCTGATACACTCACTATTGCTGTTGACAGTTTGTCAAACTTTGAACATTATGTTGCACTATAAAAAACTAATGTATTGAAATGACTTACAAAAGGTAAACGCCAGATCAGTCATTTCACTGGCTAACATATTAGACATTTTCGGGTCTTCTAATTGGTCCTGAGTTTTAAAGATTTTAGCGAGGCCTTGTATTGTGTTCTCAAAAAAATGTTTTCCCAAATTATCGTTTTGTTAGCAGTAGAACTGATATTCTTTTTCTAAAAAATATCTTGTAAACAGGGGGTCTTCTATTTCAACTTTTACATGACGAGGCCGATGAGGATCTTCTATTTAGGGAGGGTTTTCTAATCGATTATTTTTCTTATTGTATGTCTTTCGCGTCCGTTTTAGATGGAAATAGCAGCATGTATATTTTCAACATGCTGATTACGATTTTTAAATTAGTTTTGCTTTTTCTCTCCTCTTTACACATATAAACTCAATTACAAAAAATTTTTCTCAACACATCTAAAACTATCACATAATGAAATTGTGCATCTATAAAAAAAAATACACACTTTCTTGGTGTTACATGAATACCTACGTCATTTATACACTTTTTAACACACTTTATTTTATACAGTGTGAATGAATATACCTACACGCACACACAATATAAAATGATTATTCAATGAGTTCTAACACATTGATTTTACAATTTTTTTACTCTTGTTCTAATCGTGTTAAATACAAATTAATATGACGATATAGGATTAAAAATACTTTGAAAAAGTACATACTACTAATATGCTACCACTTAAATTAAAGAATATATTTCTTTGTAATTGTTAACTTTAAAAGTAAAAATATTTTCATCATATTGATTAGATATCAACTTTGTTTTTGTTGGTTTTTCTAATAAGATTAAATTTTAGAGCTCTATATGACTGAATTGTCATATTTTTTGATTATACAATTATAGAAATATACATATTATTACTTACAATAAATATAATAGTAATTAATTCTAACCATGCATTAGATGATGCTAGCCAACTGTGAAGAGAATTTGTATTATTTTTAAGAAATGTACAAGCATAATGATTAACTATTTGTCCATCTGACTCTAATTTCACATAGTCTCCAATTAGTACTAAATAATGAATATTAGGAAAAATTAATATTAAACCCGCTATGCATACAATTATTATTTCACTATTACTATTATTCTTTGATGATGTTTTTGGTCTTAAACTTCTTGATCTTTTATATCTATCTATTGCAACGATAACAAGTGTCCAACTGGCAAAACCGCGAAACCATTGTGAAATAAATACATGCATTCTACACCAAAATACTGTTCCTCTTATATCAATATTAAATCCCATCACTAACATCATATAGAGTGTATTTGTTAATAAAACACCAACATTTAATATTGAACAAACAGCCATATATCGACATGTTGAAAAACGTCGTAATTTTGGTCTTAATAATATAATTGCTGCTAATATATTAAATGATGTACCAAAAACAATTAAAAATGTAAAATAACCACGATAGATAATTTTATAAAATGTTCCTAATGTTTTCCAAACTGCTTCAGTAGCAGCATTTGATGAATTCATCGTAATATTTAAATTAAAACTAAAAAATGAAAACAAAATTTTTATTATTATATGTTTGATGTTAACATTGATTATTGTTGTGATTATTATTAACTTACTCGGTCATTATTAAAAAAGGCAAATAAATTATAACATTAATGTGAATAAGAAAACAAACCAATTGTTATGTACAATATGTTAAGTGTACCTTGAGAAAATTGTTCGATTGATGTATAGACCATTGTAATGTTTATTTGCATATATAACGGACACAATGGTAATAACTATGTGTGGTGATTAGTTCTGAAAAGAAAAGAAAAGGAAATAAAGTGACAACAATTTTTGTTTTATTATTATTTTGTATGTGATGAATGTAGCCTAAGATCATCCTACATCAATTGAATATATTTTCATTATTATTTTTATTAAAAGCAAGATCAAATCCGGCATCTTAATTAGTCATTGAATAAAGACTATGAGTTTAAATATGCTGAATTATTTTTAAATTAGCTTTTTTCATATTCTTTTTTTCTTTTTTCTTGTACTCGAAATAAAAAAGAGACGTCATAAAATTCTATTTTTAAAATTAAAATACTTTAAATTTTTCTCAACGACCGACATTTCGACTTATAGATCATTTTTTTTTTTTAAATACTTTTTATTTTAAATATGTAAACATGATCTTGAGCATGTTTTGACTTCAATGAGTAGAAAAAATATTTTTGAAAAATGTTATCAAAATAGACATTAAATAAACAAATGAAAATTGTCTATAACTAACTATACCTCCTTGTCTTATTTTCTTTTTTACGAACACAAAAAATAATCTACTATTAAATATAATATACATTAAATTATTCGTTATAATGACGACTATTTGACTATTTTCTCGTTTTCAAGAAACGAGAAAACTTCTACAATGTCGTACGTTAAAAAAACCTATTATTAAAAAAAAAAAAAATTACTTAGGTTTGAACTGTCGAATGAATATAGAATAAGGGATTCGACGCTTCATATACTGCTTTTTTTGACAGCTACGATATCTCTGTACATATTTTTATACTGTAGAAAACCTTTTTATATAGCAATGGAAAGAAAATAAAATGGACTAGAAAACATTTTGTTAATCTGAAGAATGACTTTCTACAATGAGAAATGAATTTTTTTTATTACATATAATTTTGACTGAGATTTTAGCAAACTCACGTGTCACGTCCGGTTTCAAATCGTGCTGGTAAAATAGTTTTCAGTTCACACTCTGTGAACGTGTCTGAAAACCAGAGGCACAATTTGTTTCTAGTTCACAAGTTAGAAATGTCAAAATGGCTTGAAATCAAATTAGAAACACTTAATTGTGTCAGATGTTAAAAGTGAATTTTTGGTTTTTATCTTTTTTTACTAAAAGTAAAAAACTGTAAAAAAAAAGAAAAAAAAAGAAGAAATCTCAAGATGTTCTCTCAGAGATTTTTTTTCTTTTTTCGAACTAAAATAAATTAACCGTTCTACGATTCAGTGTGGGAAGTAATTCTTAGAAAACTTTGAAAACTTAATTAAAAAACGATATACTCATTTTAACTACTTTTAAGTCTTCTTTTGGAGATATGGTAGATCAGTTGTACTTGCATGAAAAAATGTCATATTTCTCATTGTGAAGAGAACGCTTTTCTCTACAGGCGAAGTTTGTGAAAATACACAACTCGATTGTACAAAACTATAAGATTTTCTCAAACGTAGCTTACTAAATTGGGGGCGAAATTTAAGTTAATTAATATAAAAGCGGAAAAAAATATTATTAAAAATATTATTCTGTATTTTTGAAAAAAGTGGCCACTTTTTAATTGGAGTAATCAAAAAATCGTAATCTGAAATATTTCATCTTTCTAGAAACAACAGAAGTAGAAATAGTAGCGTAACCAGGAAAAAGTCGGTGGGGGTGCTCAGCACCCCCTTGGATGCGCCACTAAGTAGAAAGACATATAATAAGAATTGGTGACTGTATATTTATGTATATAACGATGTTCGTTCATCTGAAGAATTTGTTATGAGTCGTTATGAACAAGAACAAGCTCAAAAACGTGTACAATACGACCAAGAAAAATATACATACGTGATGATGAGAAGCTTAAATTAGCAAGAACAAAATATATCAAAGATAAAGATTTTGATAGTTATCAAAAAGTTCTAAGAACTCTTTCTCATCGGTATATAGACTGAATAAATGATGTCGGAGATAGTCGTGACAAAAACTAAATTCTTTGTTGATATAATTTTTTTATTATAACTGCGTATAGATATATACATAAATATATAGTCACCAATTCTTATTATATATTTTTTCTACTTCTATTGTTTCTGGAAAGTGACCAATTTATGTATCTATATTTCAAACTAGAATGCAATTGTGTTATGCACAAATTGCGATATTAATAGATAAATCTGGACACTTTCAACTATCGAACAATACAGCACATGTCAAAGCAGTAACTTTTCACAGTATCAATCATAAAAGATAAGAAGAAACAAATATTATAAAGAGGCTTGTAGCAATTTCAGCAGTCCTTTTTTCTTTTTATTGTGATTATTCTAAATCATTTCAACAATCAATGAATAAACTTTTAAAATCATTTCTCTCTTTCAATAAAATTCTTCGATGTGTCTTCTATGTTTTAAAGAACAGGTAATCACTTAGTATACCTTTTATTAGATGTATGTATGTGGAAACAGAAATTCACTAATTAGAAGATATGTACACAGATTCATTTCTCAATTTTGTTTAGAAATTCAAAAATATGGCGTCGGACAATTATTAACAATGAAAAAGTTCGAAGTCCAAGACATATTTTTATTCCACTTGTGGAACTCATCCCGTCCAATCTAGACGGCTGTTTAAAAACAGAACATGAAATGGTCTACATCATTGAGTGCCCAGAGAGCTATCTTCCGTTTTCAGAATGTCTCTACATTACGTCTCTAAATCATACGACTCACTTTTTGCAAAAACGATGTCTAAACAAGAAAGAAAAAAAAATCCTGAACAAATACAAAATGTCTATCGACATAATTACGATTTTTTGATTACTCTTTGATTAAAAAGTGGGCACTTTTTGAAAACGCAGAATAATGTAAATTTACTCGTTCGAAAAAGCGACCACTTTTATACTTATTGGCTTAAATTTCAGCTACATTCAGGAAGTAACCTTCTCGAAGACCTTGTTTTTTTAAAGGAGATTGAAAATAAACCGCATAATATCACTGGACAAGTTTTGCATATCAAGATATCTCAAATTATCTGTTCGATAGTATCTGACGCATATCTTAGTTTCCCGAGCTTACTCCACATCGAGTACCTAGTTGTGTGTATGAAGAGCTTAAGCAGTTAAGTAGATGAACTCTGGGTCACGTTGTCCAGAATTATGATTAATGATCAGTAAAATAGATGAATGACCAGTTTTGAAGCTTTGTTAGACGCAGAAAAGATATTACAGACTATTCGAAATTAACAAATATGGCTTGTTAATATCTTAAACGAATAATGAGAATCGCATGGTGAACTATTTGCCCTTGATGTCTGTAGTGCAAGGTTATGTTTTTGTTCACACAAACATCATTCTCTATATGCTTCAAGTCTTCTTATAGTCATGAATAAAATCATCGATGTTCAGTTACGTCTTTTTTGAGACGCGTCAAGTCGTTAATTATTCGCAAAATATTATAAAAAGGTTAAAACCAATGCAAACCTTTCATTTCCAGATATTTACTTGAACTTTCATCTGTCATTGAGAATTGTCGTAAAGAATTTTTCTAGAAAACGATAAAATAAAACAATTTTCTAAACGAATAAAAAGAATCTTTCAAGACATAATAAGTGATATTAAAAAAAGAACCATTCTAGTCTGTTACGTATTAATGTTTTATCTGTTTTGTCACATTTCTACACAATATTTTTTTTTTTTGTTTTTTTTCATTTTAAAAGAACCTAGATTTATTTTCTATATACTGTCAGATCTTATCATATATAAATGAACTCGAAAAACCTCTTTATTTTCAAAGAGAATACTTCAGTAAAATTTTGTTCTAAAAAAAACAAAAAATTTATCATTAATAAATATCGAGAAATAGAATTAATGATTGTTCATTTTAACTCTTAAATTATTATTATAAAGTATTGTCTTTTATATTCAAATTAAAATTAAAATAATATTTTTTTTAGTAATATTTTTTCAAATTATCCATTGATTCATTTATATTTTTACTGAAAATATTTTTTTCATAAACACTATATTATTCATGTATGCATAGAACTAAAGAAATTAGAAAATGTTATTTATTCTAGATAATCTGTATGTGTTCATTGGAGAAAGAACAAAGATATAGATAATTATTAACTGAACATGTGTACTAATATCTTCTTCTTCTTTTTTTTTTCTATATTATTTCTAAAATAAGAATATGATAGCTAGTTTAGGTCATAAAATCGCATCTTATTTATTTTTTCATCATCTATACACATAGAGATCACATATCATAGTCTGATGAACTAAGAAATTTTAATAAAACCGTATACAAACCTATACTTAATTATTTTTGTTTTTCAATCATACTCGAGAACTTATATATATGTACATGAATCCTTAATATTCAATTAGAGTTTCTTGAATTATGATTTTTTTTTTTCTTTTCCCCTTTCTCTTCCCTCCATCTTCTTTTCTTGTGCAGTTAGAGAAAACTTTTTTCATTTGGTAACTCAAATTTCAAAAAGATAATGTCACACTAGACGGTTACAAATGAATGATTATCTGAATGACTAAGAGAAAAATCTATGAATTTTGTACTTACTTTTTTTTTTATCAAATTTAGTATTGAAAAGCAATCAATTTTTAATTTAATTCAATCAACAAATATTTTAAGTTGAAAATGTCTCGTATTTTGCGGTCGACAGTTTTGAGAAATTTAATTATTTGTCTCCTTTAAATAAAAGACGCTTATAATAGTGTCTATATATATATTTTCATCAATATTACTTTCCTTTTTTTTATCATCTGTCATCAGTCCACTTAACTATGACGCGTCTAAGAATATCGACAAATTATCACACGCATATCTTATCCCGTTAATCTGTTGCGTGAC